GTTTCCTATCTCCTTCTCCTCCCCCCCCCCACCTAATTATGTTTTCTTGGGGTTAGTGTACTGAAAAATAAGAAAGAAAGGAAATAAAAAAAACTTGACTAAAATGTTCTGGTTTTGACAGAATTATTAAAATCAGCCTGATGGCTTAATGACATGTCAATCATTTCAGTGTTGCTGGTTGTTGTTAATATGTCAGCATCTGTACACATGACTGTTAAACATGCTACTTTCATCAGTGTAACATTTTATAGGCTGGAGGGCTTTTTTCTCCCTCTGTAATTTATTTCTACTACTTTTCATTGCTAGGTTACATTTTCTAATTAGAGCTAAGTATTTCACTTAATATTTAATTTAGATGTACAGCACATATATCATACCTAGATCAATCAATCAAGTGTCCCTTGTTGATAATGCTGCATCATTAAGAGTTGTATTTAATTCAGAAGCAAGATGATGTATGTATGCTTATGCTGCTAAACAGACACTTTCAAAATTAGGAATGTGGGTTTATCGTTAGGAAACATACTGCACTGACGTTCACTTTTGAGCTAAACGCCTAATCGAAAAAGTTTGCTGCTTAAAGAACTCTGGACTTTGGAATTGCAACAAATTTAATTCCTTAATTCCCTTCCCAAATAAATATTTCATATTTTTCACCAATGGACGTGTTTACCCAAAGGAAGGGGAGAGGTTAATCTCGTAGCTTTGGTATTGTTTGGGGCAAGTAATAAAATACCCGGCCTGCCTCTCACACCCACCAAAACCGTTAAAAATGATTTGCCCACATTTTTACACAGCATATACTGCACTCATTACATCAACAGGATTGAATTACAGGAGCCGAACGGGCCAGCTCTGACACAGACATCAAATACGCAGTCATTTATCTTGGGAAACCGTGGCTTTAAAAAGGGAGGATAATTTCAAATAAAGCAGCTGTACAATATTGTCGGCACTTGCCACTTACGAATGACAAAAATTCAATTAAATCCTAATAAAAAATAGATGGATGTGATCAGTTCTCCTTTACCTGCCTGATTCTCTCTCTCCCTCTCTTTAATTTCACCCGCCTTGGCTCCGTGATACTGTATTTTAGAGCTTTCCCTCTACCTAGAAGGTGACCAGGCACATGAAATATGGCACCGAACCCCTGTTTGAACCAAAACACTCCGCAGCGCCGAATGAGTCATTCTCGAGTCAGGCTTAGGGGGCACTTACTGGGCAGCAGAAAACCAGAACCTAGTGGGAGCTACAAATCAAAGCAAGCAGTAAAATAAAGAGCCCACCTCTCCTTTCTCTCCCACAAAAGTACCCCCGAAACAGGGCAGGCTGGAAACATCAGCGCGCTGAACAGAGAGACACATAACTTGACATGAATTTCTGGGCGCAGCAGAAAGGAAAACAAATTTCTATCCAGCTCTTCCCTGCAAAGCCACATGTCATTATATGAGTTAAAACAATGAATCATGTGGGATAAAATAAGATTAAGTTTAAATGGAGTTTAGCTACCCAGATTCCCCCAGCGCTGTAAAGATGTCTATCAGTAAGGAGAAAATTCTTATCATTTCCTCGGACGCCTAAGCCACCAAGTGAGTAGGGAATTGGGGCTGGGGAGTCAGAACAAAACCAAGAGTCTTCCCTGCGGGTCTTGAGTGTGTGAATAAGAAACTTACAGGATCCGGAAAGGATTTTCCGAGTCGAGAGGGGTTTGCTTTCCCAGTCCTCTTGTTTGCTTTCCCTGCTGCTGGCGATCATGGCTTCGTATCTCTCCCCTCGACAGTAACTCTCTAGTTCAGCTCGTCCGGATTCAGCGGCACTATGCAGAGAGCTCGCAAGATTCGGGGGCTCTGAATTAGCCAATTCCATTGACAGTTTTCAGCCAGCAGCTGCAGTCATTAAAAGCCATTTACACCCTGGCCTCCTCACACAAAGATAGAGCGCCAACAATTATCTGCTTGTACATTTAAGGACATGAGAATGTGTCCCTAACAGGCTTAGGGGAGAACTGAATCACCGGCTACGCTAGGAAAACACTGAGTCCCGTTCCCAAGATTTGTCTAATGTATATCATGCCATAGTAACTCGCTTTGGTGAGTGAGCTGCTTCAGTATCCTCAAACATTTTAGGATGTTGGATCCAACTGTGCAATAGCTCACGGGCTGAAATATCGCTTATGCTGTAAGACATGCAGAGCTCGGTTAAGACCTTCGTATTAGCTAATAGGCACATCAGGTTTTTTTTTAAATCTAATCATGGTTTGAGATTCAGCCCAGAACGCATCTTTTGCAGACAGAATTCTCAGTAGAAAAGCAGTTTGTTGGTCTCGGATTATACCTGAAACAAGCTAAAGCAGATTCTGGTGTGAGTTTTTGTAGCTTTGCAAAGTTCACCAGGAATCCTAATACCAGGAGCATCGTCTAAACATGTGAACAGAATATGATTGTGTGGAAGACTAGAAAACAAGAAGGGCCTTTTTGTTATGATCCTTGAAATGAATTTTGGGGGTAGTTTAATTTTCAGCTTTAAGAAAATTGAATCAAACATTAAGAAACCCCTCGCAGGAATCGCCCCCCCCTTTTTATATAATCCTTTACATAAAAGGAAAGGATTACAAAGAAAAGATTTTTTCTGTATTAAAATCTTTGGCTAAACATATTGTTGTACAATTAATACTTTCAAGTAGATTGGTGGAGGGGCTGAGTCGTCTCTTTGCTTCCTTAGCTGTGTAACTGGAAATATGAGCCAGAAAGGGAGGGGAGAGACGAAAAAAGTTTCCCCCAAGTATGTTAACAGAAGTGTTTAAGCAGATCACTAAAAATTCAGAGGGCGAATTATTTTCATGATGAATAACAGAGCACACCGATGACAGTTTAGTGAAAATGTGATGAATGTGTAATACAGCGAGGTTCTTCCAGTCCAGCAGCTCTTCCAACTGGACCTATTCATCTGCCACTTGGAATTATTTCATGAGGAGTGCGCTGTGAAAGGGATCACCACCAGTTCGGAGTCCAGCTAAAGAACTTCTACCACCCATAGCAGCATTATTATTATCCTTCGGATAGTCCAAGTCACGCTATGTTTTCACATTTTAATTGTAATATCTCTTCCCCCTCTCTTCTCTCCATTGATGTCTGAAAGTAGTTTGGGCTCCATTCCTCACCCCTAGATCTGCATCGGAATGCAGAAAAGATCTTTTAAAAAGTTTTGAATTCCTCAATGATTTTTCTTCTAGAAAGGCGGCTTAGGATAATTATTTCAGCTTTATTGAGGGCAGATTAGTTGAAGTCTGGATGCTGCGTTTCAATACTCGTTGTACATGCCTTTACAATGTCGGTATTGTTTGCTACTGTGTGTGAACCTATTCAAAATATACACTTTTTAACACCAAGCAAAGTCCTGTCTAAATATACACAGTAAGTCTGGAAAGACGTCCATGACCCGTACAAATCTCTGTAAATCACACTTCCATAGCTACAGAAACTAAACAAAAGAGTTACCAGCTCAAGATGCTGATTAAATCTTCTTAAAAGCAACATACCTAATAATAAATATAGTTGCATGGGAGCAAGATCCAGGAGCCTAGCTAGCAGTTGGAATAATATGGAGTTAAAACTGCAAGAAGACTTTCTTTGCCCACACTTTAAAAAAAAACCAACACATTTAATTTAATCGGCAAATGTGTTTCTTTCTTTTCCCCAAAGTTTGGGGCAGAAATTGTATGTAAAGGAGGAAATATATGTTAAAACGGTGGTTGGCACGTACGCGAGTGGCTAGCTGAGAAGAAAGAAAAATGAGAGGATAAAAAAGAGGGATGTGCGAAAAGAAGGAATGAAAGAAAAAACAGAGAGAAAAGAAAAAAGGGAAAGGGAGAAAAAAGCAGAGGAAAAGAAGGAACTAAGGAAAAGAGAGGTATTTGGCTGAAAAAGAAAGGCAGAAGAGGGTTTAACATGCCAGTTATTCGGAGTGCTTTTCTCTAACTTAAAACCCGCAGACAGGGCCAGTTCAGAGCACTGATGCTCCTGGCAGCGCTGCATCCCTGCAGGGGACTCTGCAGGTCCCGTTAAACTTGGATTTTAGCAGGTACCCTGTTAAGTGAAGGGCGGGGGAGAAATTCTTGAGGGAACCAGAGCTAAACCCAGAACGTACTGTGTGTGCTGCTTCTGGGAGGGTCACCGGCATGAGGATGGGTCTAATGATCTCATCTTTCTTTTCTTCCTCGGCACTATTAGTGTTCAGATAGGCAGAATGAAGTGAAACTACGTGCAAATCATGTGTAAATTGTCTCAGTTAGGAGCCCTTTATCCGAACGTGTATCCCAGCCTGGCCCATTTACTTTCCCCCCATATCTCCTTTAGCTTTAACGAGGCTCGTTAAGATCACAATAATATTCCACCCTCTAATTGCTCATCCCATTCAACAAATATGTGCACACTGCTTTTCGCATTATTTGATCCCTTATTTAGGAGGGGTGTGGAGGGGGAGAGACGGAGAGAAGGGGAAGTGCTGAGATTAAGAGTTGAAAAGATACAAAAAAAAAAAATCCTTTTCCACTAACCACCCTGCTTCCCTTCCCCCCGTGCATTTGCGCGAAGTGGTAAAAACCTTTCTTACGTACTCACTAATGATTGGCAGGGCTGACAGTGATTGGCAGGGGGTGCCATGGCAACGCCACAACGACACTCAGAAGACCAATAGAAAAGCGAAACAAAATGTTTCAATGCTGCACTCACTGTGGATTTAGGGGAGATATTATGAGGCTGTTGTCATTAGGGCGATTGCTGTTGAATCATTGAATCTTGACTCGGTGGCGGTGCTGGGTTGGTGTGTGTGTGTGTGTGTGCGTGCGTGCGTGCGTGTGTGTGTGTGGCTGTGTGTCTCTATGTGGCTGTGTGTGTGTGTGCGTGTGTGGATGCGTGCGGGGTGTGTGTGTCCTTTTCTCCCTTCTGCCTGCCTTTCTTTCTTTTCTCCTTGATTTATTTCCCCCTCTCTCAGGTCATCCCATGGTTTTCAGGTCCCCTTTAGAGCTTTATCCCACCCATTTCTTCTTGCCAAACTTCACCACCGACCCGCATCACCGCTCCTTACTTCTCGCCAGTAGCAGCAGCAGCAGCAGCAGCAGCACGGGCTGCAGCCCCGGTGCTGGCGGCGGTGGAGGAGGCAGCTCCAGGGGACCGCAAGAAGAGTTGTCAATGTTTCAGCTGCCCACACTCAACTTCTCCCCGGAACAAGTGGCCAGTGTCTGCGAGACGCTGGAGGAGACTGGAGACATCGAGCGGCTGGGGAGGTTCCTCTGGTCGCTGCCCGTGGCGCCAGGGGCATGCGAGGCCATCAACAAGCACGAGTCAATCCTCAGAGCCCGGGCGGTGGTGGCCTTCCACACCGGCAACTTCCGAGACCTCTATCACATCCTGGAGAACCACAAATTCACCAAGGAGTCCCATGGCAAGTTGCAGGCCATGTGGCTCGAAGCGCATTACCAGGAGGCCGAGAAGCTGAGGGGTCGCCCGCTAGGGCCGGTTGATAAATACAGGGTGAGAAAGAAGTTCCCGCTGCCCAGGACCATCTGGGATGGAGAGCAGAAGACGCACTGCTTCAAGGAGAGGACTCGCAGCCTCCTCAGGGAGTGGTACCTGCAAGACCCCTACCCCAACCCCAGCAAGAAAAGGGAACTGGCGCAGGCCACCGGCCTCACCCCCACGCAAGTAGGCAACTGGTTCAAAAACCGAAGGCAGAGAGACAGAGCAGCCGCTGCGAAAAACAGGTCAGTGCACACGGCACCTCCACCCTGGGAGGAGAGCGAGAGGCAGGGCTGGGCTGATTTCTAGGACTGTTAGTGCTCTCGGAGTTCTTTATTTGGGCCCCAGCGGTGGGGGAGTTTGTTTGTTTATATTTAATAATAATTAATAAAGAATCAAGCCGAGTCCTGCGTACCAATCTGTTTGCTCCAGCTGCAGAGATGCAGCCGGCAAAGGAGTTGTTGTGAAGCACAGCACCAGGAAGCCTTCGCTGCTTGCCAGAACAAAGTTTATTCGCACACACACACGCATACCGGGGGTGTCCGAGAGTCTATTCTTTTAAAAAAAGACTTTCCTTCGTTCTAAACCTGTGTGTGCCTTAGTCGGTTTACACACGGCCTGCCCAAAGTGCAGTGAATGTTCTCTCCTTTCCTTGTGGATTGGTAAAAGTGAAGGAGAGCTACACAATGCTATGCTTGATGTATTATTTTTAAATGTCACTCGTGCTGGCACATTTTAGTGGAATCTGCCCCTCCCCCCACACACACTAAACAGTTTAAACAAACATCATAATTCAAAGTGTGCTTCTGCAAAGAAAGCAGCTGTTCTCCTATTGTTCTTATTAATTATAAAAAACAAACAAACTAATTTGCCTCAGAAGGAAAAATAGGGGAAAGCGCTGAGGCACTGAAATGCATTTTCTTTCGCATTTATATTTATAGATGTACACAGAATGATTAGCTATTTGTGTGCGTATAATATAGTGTGTGTGTGTTGTGTATGTGTTTGTGTTTAAAGTGTTCACTGAAAGCAAACCTTAAAAATTCAACTATTTCCTGTTTGGTCTCAACGTAGTTTTTATACATTATTTTAAAATTTAAAATAGACCTTTCAACGAGCTTTACAGACTGATTTTTAAAAAAAATACATTTCATTATCGCTGGAAGTGTGTAAATAGAACTTACTGTTCTTTTTTATATTGTCTCCCCCAAATTCCTTTTAATTGTACTGTTGGTACTGGTGATTCGGAGTCCAGAAAAAAATATAAACTGCAACCGCTTCACTATTTGATTTCCATCAAATGGAAGGCAGAGCAGCTTAGTACAGTAAATAAACAGAAGTTGCATACGGATGCTTTTGTTGACTGAACGCTGTTGACAGCGGAAAGAATACACCAGGAATTGTAATGGGAGAAAATAACCAAATACGCCAAAATTAAACAATTTTAAAATGACTGGAAATTTTAAACCGATATAAATTTCTCTGCTATTTGCAGACATTGAAATGAAAAAATACTCTGGTGGGAATCAGTTGACTGAGGAGTGCGTTTTGATAAACACTGGGAGTGTTTGTTATGCGTTGTGAATGGCTGGTCAGTTCAGGACTTTTAGCTTCTTTCCCTTATACTTGAATTAAATTTTCTCTATATTTAGAAACGAATAACTAAGCGCAGGAGAATGTTCAGAATACGATGATGCAATTGAAGATTTTTATTTTGTTTTATTTATTTTGTCTATTTAAAATCAAATGTCTTCCCGTGTGTTGACATTGCGAGGGACAGCAGTTTGGAGTCTTTTGTTTAGTTTTTGTTTTTCAAAACGGAATCAGACTTTAAATTAAAACGTTCTCCCTTTTAGAGGGATAGAAAAAATGCATTATAGATGTTTCGCTAAATACTTGGGAGATGTTTCCCCCACCCCTTCTCCAGAGCACCAGTGTATTTCTTTACACATTTTAAAAAATGTTATATATAAATATATATATTATCAGACAAGATAAGTCAGTTTCAGCTGCTATTCTTCTCTACTACCGAACACTCTTTGTAGCTTTCCATATCCACTGTGCGTTTGATAAACGCACACATATTGTCTTAGTTTAGATTAGGCCCACAATACCCTGGTGTCTATGGTGGAAAAATGGACTAGTGGGGGGTGGGGGGGAGAGACGACAAAGAGAGAGATTTTAAACAAAATCTCAGGCGCAATAAATGAGTTTCCCCCACCATGCTTTTTAAAAGTTGTGATCTGTCTATTTATATCTGAGCTTCACCCGATCATATCTGAAGTGGGCTTTCTCCGATCTGTTTTGAAACACTTGCGAGAGGCTGTCTGCAGCTGCGGTGACAGGAAGCCGAGGCAATGCAGTTCACGGCCGACAGCTTTACCAAAACAAGACAGAGAGAGAGAGAGAGAGAGAGAGAGGTTCACTCATTGAACCTTGATGGCCTGTATACACACGCATGCATATGGATGTGTGTACACGGTGCACGGGCAGATAGCGCTCTACAGATTGCAGGTCGCTATTAAAAAGCCAGGCAGGCTGATCTGAGAAGGTGATCGCGCGTGGGGCTCTCAGCCCTAGAGGGAAGCTGGGGGATGTGGCTGGAGCCAGTTGCAGAGGGAGGCTGTTTGTGTGGTGAGTGTTTGTTTGTGGAGGTGTGTTTGCAAGGGCTGGGGAAAGAGGGGAGCTGGGAGCTGCTGCCTGAGGCTCGCTCTTCCTCTCTCAGAAGGACTGTGTCGTTGTTTTGTCTCCCCATGCGATGCAGGCTCCAGCACCAGGCGATAGGACAGAGCGGCATGCGGTCGCTGGCAGAGCCCGGCTGCCCTACACATAACTCGGCCGAGTCTCCGTCCACGGCGGCCAGTCCTACCACCAGCGTGTCCAGTTTGACAGAAAGAGCCGAGACGGGGACCTCCATCCTCTCGGTAACCTCCAGCGACTCGGAATGTGATGTATGATACCGGCAAACAATCCAAACCAACCAGCCAAGCACCCTCTCCCCGACCCAGACCAAACAGACCAACGGCCCCAGAATCAGGACACACAGACACACACTCAGCAAGAGAAACGCAAAGCAAATACGTAAACAAGAGAAAACAAACAAACAAAAAGAGAATCCACCGCCACCATCAACAGCCACCGCCGCCACCAAGAGATGGAGCTAAAACTTCAACAGACAGTCATTGATACTGATGCTGCAGCGGGGGGAATAATAATAATTATATTAAAAAAGTGACAATTGCATTCTTTTTAGGACAAGCACGATTTCTCTTTTGCGCTTTTCCATGGACGCATTTCACCCACTTGCATGATAATGATGATGCTGATGATTAAATTTGTATCTGGGAAAAATATTCTCTATAGTAAAGAAACAAAAACAAAAAACAAACAAAAAAACAAAAACTCCGATCGAATTTGTATAAAAACAATAAAAATAAAAAAAATAAAAAGGAACTCCTTGAAGAGGGAAATAACAAATGTTTATCGCCTTTTTGTTGGTTCTCTTTCTCTCTCTCTCTCTCTCTCCCTCCCCCCCCTCTCTCTTTCTCTCTGTTTTTAAGTCCAAGTGATGGTCCAGCCAAGATGCAATCTTCTGTTTTTTTGTTCAGCAGACAATCATTTTATTCGTAAGCACCTTTTTTTCTACACTTCTGTCACTGCCTGTGTGGGTACTGGTTATAAATGTGGAAAAAGAATAGTTATGACTGTAACAGATTTTTATTTTTATTTCAAAATTTTATATGAATTATGTATATCTTAATGATGCGGTCATTTCCCCAGTTTGTAATATATGTGTAGAAATGCCTGTATATGATATTTGCTCTTTTCTTTCTTTTTTTCCTCTCTCTCGCTCTCTCTCTGTCTCCACTTCTCTTTCTCTCTCTCCTTTTTATTTTCCTTGACTTGGTGTTCCTTGCACAAACTTAGCTGTCACGATCTGACGTGCTAGGTTTTAAAAAGGGACCTCAGCGATAGAAAACAGCTTAGAGTGCAACTGTAGTTATCTTATGCAAAAGCTATTTTGAGTATTTCATAGCAGCTTTGGGGTCTCTTCTTAAACTCCACGTAGGACGCTTATACTATTGTTTCCTTAACTGCGTGTTTATCTATATGTACAAACTTTCTAAATCAAATACAGTATTCCATTTTCTTATCTATTCAGCTATGTTGGTGTTTTTGTCTATTGCAAATTATATATCTATATCTATATATTACCCCACACACCCTAACTGAGAAATTATTTTTTAATCTTTGCTTGGTTAGGTGAGCCACTATGAATTATTCAAGTTTATATGTACTGAAGTGCTCAGGCTGGTTAGCAATGCACGCCAGTGGAATCTGGAATTTACTTGTGTGTATATAGCAGCGAGGCGGGTTTGGCTTTTTTGTTTGGTTGGTTTTGGTTTTAATTTCTATGTGTTTTGAAGTAAAGTGCTGTGTTTGTCGCACATTTAAAATTAATTTAAAAATAATATAAAATAACTGCATTAAAAGTCTGCCTTAGTGAAATGAACAGTGTCTGTAAAGGGGAAGGAAAAGAAAACATCACTTTTGTATAGGCAAACTTTGCCCCCTTGAGTTGATATAACCACTGCTCTGACTGTGTTTCCAAGACACAGTGATGTCCTTTCAATCCTGCTTTCACACCACTGGCTCAAACATTTTTTCATTTTTAAAAAAAACTCTGAGCCTAAATGATCACTTTGCCCATCTATTGGGATTAGCAGGTTTCTCCATTTAAGATGTTTTAGTATTTGTTTGTAGCTTTAAATGAAAACAAAAACTATAAACTACTCTCCCTAATCAGGTTTCAGCTCCTCCCCTTGAATCCTAAGTATATTGTAATGTGCTGAAAGAAGCCTTTATTTGCATGACTAACAGTATTCCAGAATCACCTTTTGCATTAAAGTTTTGCTTAGCCCCAGGCAGATTATTCAACCGTGAATTAACAAGAGGTGAATTCTAAACTTGTTTTTACTTGAAAATACAGTTTTGAAACTTATTAGGATTAGTGAGAAACGTGCCTGGAATTTCTTGACCATTTCAGAACTAATTTTGACTTCCGATTTGACTTTGTTTTGGCTGCATTTTTTCCTCTGTTTGAAGGTCCGGGCAAGTTGAATGGGAAGCTCCTGAAATTTTAGGGAAAACTATAGGCATTTCCAAAAGGAATCTCTACGGGGAGAAAGGAAAGCCCATGCCCTATAGTTTGGAATTTAATTCAAAGAAAATTATTGATTATTTTGAAAATAAGCTGAAATGCAAATATATTTATAGATCTTTTATATCCTTCAGAAAATCCTATGTGTATTTACTCAGCTTCCTTTCAGCACAAACAGTTGTTGGGAACATGTTTATTACCATCGATATTTTTAGGGAAGATAGCCCAAAAGCTTTAAATGAAGGAATAGTTTAGAAACAGTAACTGATACAGACCTGTGTGATCACTTGAAATGCTATCGAGAAAGAAAGGGAGAAAAAGAGTCTGTAGAATGTTTATCTTTATCATTTATGGTCATCGTCATTAAGCTGTACCTTGTTACCTGGAAGGCTTCCAATCAGAACGCCTTTATTTTGCTGCTCTGTTATCATACACGTCACGGAGTAAAGTGGGCTAGAATCTATTTAGACGCGTTTAGGAATTGCCCTCTAATCGTGAAAATCAGTGAATTTGCTCACCTACATTTAAAATCCCATCTGTACCCTTTCTCTATCCAACTCCCTGAGAGAGAAATCCCCTGCTAAGGAAAAATAATAAAAAATAATTCTCAAATGGATTCAGCATTTACACTTACACGTGCATTCCCGTTTTTATTCAAATGAAAAGTTCATTTGAATTTTACATAATTTGAAATGTGCATCATTTTATAGATACACCATATTTAATATTCAGGCATGCACAAAACAATAACAGCGTTCTGTTAACGTGACAAATAACTTGAATCTAATATGCTGCAAATTAGTTTTGCTAAATTAATTACATATTTAGCAGCATAGAAGGATTTTTTTTAAATAACGTGACGTATGCAAAACTAGCGTTGATTTGAAGATAAGTGAAAAAGAGAATCGTATTATATCGCATGGGGAAATTAAATTATATTATTAGTCCTTCATCTTCCCCGTGCAGATTCAAAGAGCAGGAAAAATACTAACATGGGGCAACATACTCCAAAAGTATCTGTATCTTCGCAGGCAGCTGGCGTTTGAATTGGGTCATTTATAACTGTTTTCTTCGTCAACCCCAATATGTGTTAGCAAGGAGCAAAGGCCCTTGTAGAGAAAATCACAGCATCTAGGAGTTACTCAAGATCATTGCCAGGGCAGCTATCGACATTATTTATAAATTTTAAAAAGTGCAATATTTCTATTTCTCTTTTTGATGAGCCTCATTATGCCTCTGCTATTTGTAACAGAATTAAATACCTGGAAAGATTCAGAGATGTGAAAGTTTCTTCTTCATCATTTTAGAACCTAGAAACTGCATTTTTAGGCGTCAACTCACAGTAATATCATGCCCGAATTTGGCTAATTTCTCTAGGTCTTAATCTTTATTTTCATGCTCAACATAATAACAATATTTTATGTCATTTGTTTTCCTGAGATACCACCAGAGACTCTTTTAAATAGGAATATTTTCACCGCCGTTTATAAAACAGTCATAACGTTTTATAACTTTTCTTCCCTACATCATCAACTTTCTTCCCTAAAACTTCTGGGGGTGATTTTAAATTTCTTTCCTTTGGTTTTATTTTTTAATTTCAGAAAGTTAATGTCCATCTTTTAACGTAACAGACAGTGACGCTTGGTAATTTGGAATGAGTCCATGAAACCCAGCTAGTTTTCATAATGGGGCTGCAGGCCCAAATATGCAGATTTGTAAAGTATTTGTCTCCTGTATTTCTCTCAGGCAGTGTGTGTGTGTGTGTGTGTGTGTGTGTGAGAGAGAGAGAGAGAGAGAGAGAGTATATAACGTATACATACGTACACGCACATAAAACCATATATTTGTGTTTATTTGTATTATATCTGAAAATGCTACAGCTAATGATACTCTGTTTAAAACCTGGCCCCCATAATAGATAAACGATGTTGCTTTAGGATTTGCATTAAAAACCTGAATGGTTGATTGAGGTGTAAATCTATGAAAATCTGCATTTAAGCCTTCTCACCCACTAAATCCATCTGCCCTGGTAAGATAGGGCCTATCGGAAACTCCAACCTGGGGGGTGGGGGAAGCTTACCTCTTCACTTCCTCTGGCCGATCATTATCGACAAGCCCTCTCCAGTATTAGTTTATTATCCGTGACAAGCTTGACTGTTGATTAAGATGAAATTACTCGGAAGCTGAAGTGCATTTGATCTATATTTAAGCGAAAGCCATAGGATAGGAGACAGATGGCAGAGAACTCACACATCCAGAGCCCACCGGTGCCTCATAGGAACTTTAAATTCATGGCACAGGGGATGTGCTCTTCCATAGGGGAGACACTCGGAACTCCTGTTAACCAGAACTTATTGTGATGAGTCAAAGGGGGAACGGAAAGTGAGTTTTGTAAATATAGATTTATATATTGAAATCCTCTGTCTCACGGCTTGCAAAGATTATACACACACAGGCAGTCTTGCATTGCACGATTTTTTAAAAAAAGCATTAAATTAGGCACAATGTTACAGTTTAGTTGTGACAATAATTTTTAGATGTTGTGACAGACACATCCACGCGTTATTTATGTGCTTCTATGTCCATACATAGAGATCTCGACTTGAGGTGAGCTCCACCTTTCCGAGAGTACTATGAAATAAAGTGTGCAAGTTCCTCGGAGTGCGACCATAATCTCTGTGTGTGTGTGTGTTTGCAGCGTCTTTGTCTGAAAAGCCAATAAAGTTACCTGGAAACCCTCCCTGCTTTAGCTACCTAAATGTCTGCCAGGGGCCTGTAACGTTGTTTCGTGTCCTT